CCATGCACTGTCTCATAATAATAGGAAGGACTTCTGTAACAAGCGACCACCTAACTAAACATAGAGAAGAGACCTAACCCTAAACCTACCCCAAACCCTGCTACAAACTCTACCCCTATCCTCACTCCTAACCCTAACCCACAACGAACATAATAAAAAAGAGACCCAACCCCTAGCCATACCCCAACCCTAACCCTACCCCTGACTTTACCCCTAAAAATGCGCAAACCACCGTAATATTTTCAAGACTAGGCTGGATGTAATCTCTACTCTTATGGAAGTCGACTCCTAATAATGCCAAATTATTAAAAATTCAAGTAATAGGAGCACAGAGCTGAATCATAATAATATATAGATTTTTTAAATGGTTCTAAACACATGTACGTGCTGCTTACATATCAGAATAGCTCCCAAAAATGACAAAAATTAGATACTGCAAAAATGACAAAGCTGTAAAACATCTAGAATCTAGATCGAATAAAATCCGGTTCCTATCTAGATCTAGATCTAGAATCAAGATCAAAATTTCACATTTAAACAACAACAGCACTTCTAATAAAACAACAATAATAAGAACAACATCAGAAGTAAGTTTATGTAAATTTTTCATGTAATCTAATGACTTGTAAAATTAGCCCCGAAGACCGCCTTTACAGGGCCGTAAAAGTAGCCCTGAACACAAGGAGATTACAAGTTCTAAACTCCTTGCCTGAACACCATCTTTACATGACCGTAAAAATAGCCCTGAGAACCTTCTTTACGGGACCGTAAAAATAGCCACACATTAAAAATATATATAGTTACTCCAAGGGCCAAACCATTATTCTGAATTCCCGATGCTAAAAATGGCAAAGAATTCGATAATTTTGCCTCAACTGAGTGATAAGTGAAACTGCAAACTCCTGGATTCTAGAATCTAAATTTGGCTGTTGAAAGCTTTCTATTGAAGGAACATTTTAGGCAGCTTCGAAATTTGGAAAAAACATTCATGTGTCAGCTTTTGATTGAGTGATTTCTTGGCCATTTCCGTTCCTTTTTACATGAGAATCTAGATCTAGACTAGGCCTAGGTCTAGATCTAGACATTGAGACAGTGACAGTGTGAGTGACAAGAATTCAACCCGACGCCAACACGCCGTTCTCTGAAACTCTAGATCTAGATTCTCTCTGTCTTAGATTATCTAGATTCTTGATATCATACTACATTCTAGACTCTAGTTCTAGATCTAGAATCTAGATCTAGAATCTAGATTCTAGATCTAATATCTACTAGATTCTAGATCTAGATTCTAGATCATCTAGATATCTATGGCCTACTAAATCTAGATTTAGAGGCGATTTTGTAGTTTCGTTCGTTAAAGTCAAGCAGGGGGGGTTTCAGGGGCCTGACCTAAAAAAAATATGGAGGTGGGGGGGGGTTCAGGGGGGCATGCCCCCCTGAATTTTATCCTGATTTGATGTTTTGCAGTTAGGTTGCATCCCTGCTCTTTGTGTAGCCTAATTCAAATAGTATTTGGTCTTCAAGACTTCTGGATTTCTTCTCTGAATGTAAACAAATGGATCATGGACTTTAACGAACGGAACTACAAGATCACCGATTTAGAATCTACGCTAGATGATCTAGATGATCTACACACACTCTATATTATCTAGATCTAGATATATCTAGATCTAGATCTAATCTAGATATAAATCTAGATCTAGAGATTCTAGATCTAGAGATTCTAGGCCTAGATCTACTCGTAAAAAATAATGGCACGGACGGTAGAGTGGGAATAAATTAGACTAATCTAGAATCTAGATCTAGATCTAGATCTAGATCTAGATCTAGATCTAGATCTAGAATCTACATCTGATCTTTCTAGATTTGTCTTGAGATGTCTTGACTGTCACACCCGTTACCCACTTACATCTCTAGATATCTAGATACATGACCAGTGCCACTGACAGTAACAGGGCTTATTAAAAAAGAGGTATGATTTACATTTCTTAATTCGTGTCAAAAATTTTTGCCGGAACGTAGAACGCGAGGAAGGCCGAGGTCATAATGATATTGCCTGTCCGCTTCACATCCGGTACACGCATTGGAGTTTGAGTCCGAATAGCTGCTGCCTATTATTATAATAGGTAGCGTCAATTGCCACCGAGTGACGCGGTGGCAATTGACAAAAATTGACTTTTTGTCAATTGCCACCGAGTGAAGTGGTGTCAAGTCTGAAAACAACACTATCTTTAGCATTATACATAATGTGTGTCTAATGGGTCAATTTGTTCTCAACTAATTTCATTGGACGAGCATCTAGAATCTAGATCTAGATCTACATCTAGTCTAGAGCTACGGTACCAACTTGGCGTGTTTTCAATGAGACCGTAGGCCTAGATCTAGATCTAGGCTAGCCTTAGCCTACACTTTGGTGTAGAACCGGCACAGGCAATTCTAGAAGTAGAAGGTCACAAACGCACACAAACTCAAGCAGAAATTCACGTTATATCGGGGAACATAAATCGGGGGACTGGGGTCAGGAAAAGGCGCACACACACACACACACACACACACACACACACACACACACACACACACACACACACAGACGGACGGACGCACAACACCGAGCACTAGAAGAGCACAATAAGCTAGATTCTACCCACCAACGTAAAAGAGCTCCAATTTACTCTGTGGCAATTGACAAAAAATCAGTTTTTGTCAATTGCCACCGCGTCACTCGGTGGCAATTGACACTACCATTATAATAATATAATACAGTTGAACCTTAAACGAAAACCTGTGTAAGACTGAAACCTGTCGTATAACGAAAGCTCCCACTCCCCCTTTGATAAATTCCTCCATAAAAATACCTCTCTGTAAACGGAAATCAGTCTCTAACCTTTGATGTCATGCTGCCAGGCAAGGAAGGAGAGTATGTGTTCGGAATAGCATCAGTAGGGGTTCGATTTAGGAATTAGATTTACAACATCCTTGCGAGCCCTTAGGCATAGGGATGCATGTGGTTAAGGATGGTGTGGGTATGAAATCTCATCTGTGTATTGAAAATGCTCGAGAGACGCTCCGGCATGCAAACTTTCATGGGTAGCCAGATGTCAGAAGTGTGAAATATGTTTTGACTAATGCCTGCCACCCCAATCATATGGCCAGCCAAGAAAAGAGATCCTCGAATCGTTGTTAGATGCACGAGAGGGGTGACATTGGTTGACTGCTTATTATACCGATGGGTGGGGCTAAGGGTGAAAGCAAGAAAGGAGATGTTCAAACGTTTCTGATTTGAATTGATCAAACAATGTTCCTATGACATTCTAGCGCTTGTGGATTATAAGTAAGACTGACAATGCCATTATCAGAGGGGATAGCACTCGAGAGGTGCAAAGTTTTGACCACTGCTTGCCGATCGGACAAGCGACCCTTGATCCCACCAGCTGGGCTTTTGAAACTGAAACCTCCTTCCATCTCCCCCTAAATACCCGTCTAATGCGAAGTGCCCATTAGGGGATCGATTCTCTAATACAAACAGATCGCCCGACTCGTGGCTTGAAAACAAATGCGTGTTAGGCGATGGTTTGGGCGATCGGTTTAAGTGCCTCGATAGCCGCTTAGCGCTCTCAATCTGGCTAGCAAACCAAACCAAACCGAACTGATTGTGCCAATGGGCACCCTGTATAAGACGGAAAATGTCCAAGACGTAATTTTTTTCTGGCTCCTTTTTAATTCTGTCTTCCTCATTTTATGTTATTTATCTTGAATGAAGTAGGGTTCTATTGTACAGTCAGTCAGCAAAGCGGAATTGCAGTTGCAGAGAATATTGAAAATGTTACAATTTTCTGTTTGCTTTATTAAGGTAACACTAACAGTACAGGCCACATGTTCATTCCTGAGCATTTAAATATCAAATTCCCAATATGAAAAAAGTTTCAAAATTAAATTACAATGTCTTTTTTCTAACCTCCAGTAATGACGAGTCAGCTAGCTTGATCTCATCTGTTTCCTTACAGTCTCATGCCTCCCCTAGTGGTGAGCCAGGTGATTTTTTAAAATTCACCCATTTCAAGAGACGAAGTTGCATTGGCTATGTTACTAATTTAATTTAAAATCTGGCTAGGCTTGTGGATCTGACGGCTTATAATACTTATTGCTGGAATTTTACAAATTCTGGTGCCAGGATCTGGCTGACTTTCTCCTACCTCTGTTCAATTCAGTTTTCTTCACTGGCAACTATCCAGAGGAGTGTGCAAAGTCTGATGTTTAGTTTGCATGAAAAAGGAAACGTAAATGATGTGAATAATTGTAGGGGCATTAGTTTACTAAATGTTCTTGGTAAATTGTTTTCATTCATACTGACCAAAAGACTGCTGCAATGGTGTGATGAAGGTAACGTCATCAATGAATCTCAGGCCTGTTTTAGACCAAGTCATTCTACAGCAGATAATATATTACATATTTTCACTCCAATCTTTAGTCCAAAAATATCTCTCCAAGCCTGTGGAAGATTCTATGTTTGTCGACTTTTTAAAAGCATTTGATTGGGCTGACAGAGAAAAGCTCTGGACAGTATTTAAAAGAGGTCTTGGTTGTTCTGGACCACATGTATACTAGTTTGAAATATGTATCAAAGTGTTATTTCATGTGTTAAAGTCTGCCAAAGAGTCTACATAACAAGAGGGGCCACTTCTCTCTTTGAGCCAAATAAAAAAGTGTCCTCAAAATTCGGTGGCGCCCTCTTCGCAAAAGCGCACCTTTAGCGAACAGAGTTATCCTACTTGAGTTTAAAAAATCAAAGTGAAACTAGCAAGTTTTTGAATGAATTTCGGAAGAACGCTTTTTAAAAATGGTTACGCTGACAAAAAACCTCTTCCGGAGGAAAGGGTGATTGTTTTCTTCGTTTAATTTGAGTTTAGAATGAAAGGCGAGAGGTCATTAAAATTTTAAAAAACTAAAACTCTGTACTGAACGAACCCGAACTGCTGATGAACAGCAGTCGATCTGCGCACGCAAGGAGGTGCTATTCCTATTCTTCTTCTGGAAAAACGAAAGAGAGCTTCAAAACAGACTGCAGCGCCATCTGAAGCAAAGAGCATACTTCCTGCGAACACTTTTTTGGCTGACTGGCCCATCTTGTTATTTACTATCTTTGAGTCTGCTCAGAAGAACGAGGATCCATAAAACTTTATATTACTGAATACTTCCAATGTAGATCAGGTGTAAAACAAGGCTGCATACTTAGCCCCGTATTATTGTCTTTGTATATCTCAATTCAAAAAACACCTTTGAGAATCAAACGCCCGTGCTATACAGGTATTGCCCAATGATATTGATGATATTTTATGTAAAATGTACGCTGATGACCTAAGTCTTTTTGACAACTGTCAGAAGTTTACAAAAGAAAATCAATGTTATATATATATATCTACCAGATATGGGGTTTAAAAATGAATACGCAGAAAAGTAAGATTGTTGTTTTTGGAAATGGAGGCTATCTCAAAAGATCTGAAAGATGGTATTGGGAGGGTAAGGTCTTACAGTCAGTAACCTATTATCTTGGGCATTTCATTTTCATCTCGTCTATAGCTGGAGATGAACGCTAGAAGATCGAGTTTGTAAAACTCAGCAGATTGTTTCTCGATCTAGAGGGCTTTTCGGTTCATACCAAGAATTAAATTTTGAAACAACAGCACCAAACATTTTTTATATAAAGATGGGGGCTCTCATGGTCTAGAGGTTAAGGTGTTCGCCTCTCATTCAATAGGTCGTAGGTTCGAATCCAGATAGCGACGTAAAATTTACTTCTTAAATTTTTTTTTCTTTCCGATCCTTTCCTGTTCCCTAACAATGTTCTGTCGTCTGCTTTCGTCTGCACTTTCTGCCGCCCACCTCCTCCTCTGCCCCCTCCTCTGGGCTCCTGACACTTTCTGCAGCCTTTCTACTGCTGCTCCTTGGCTCCTTCTTACTGCTGTCTTTCAGCCACACCCCTGATCTTATTTTAGGAATGGTCTACACCTAGCCTTCTCGGACAAGGGCGAAAAATCTCTGAGGTCCAGTGTGCACGGTGCACACGTTAAAGATCCCTTGGTGGTCCAAAATTGATAAGAGTAGGCATCGGCTGCTACCTGAGCAAAATCAAAATTTCCTACCAACTGAAAATGTTAAATATGTCCCGCGCGCTCGGATGACCTTCTGCAGTTGCGAGCACTGTTAAACACTAACCCCCCTCCAAATGATATAACCAATGCTGCTTTATGGCTCTGAAATTTGGAGTCCCAAAAATTGGGAAGTAGTTGATAATGTTCAGGTAAAGTTCTGGAAAGCCTTTCTGGGTCTTGGCAAAGCTACACCCAACTGTTAAGTTCTAAGAGAAGTTGGAAGAACCAATTTATGTTCTGATTACATGCATTGTGTCATGAATTTCTGGTGCTGACTTTTACACTTAGAAAAAGGCAAAAGTCCAAAGAAATGTGCCTATTACTAAACTCTAGATTATTTCTCTGTGCAGTAAAAATTAGACTTGTTGATCATTCTGTGCAGAACATAGAGGAAAAGTCTGTCGCATGTATAATTTATTCTCTCTTTCAATTCTGTTTCAAGAAACAGCTGAGTACATCGTCAACCTCCCACAGTATTGGAACAGAAGAGTCATAGCCTTGTTAAAAACTCATAGCCTTCCATTAAATAACAATCTCTATCGGTGGCAATAAATGAATTCACCTTTATGTGAGAGGCATAACTCTCATAAAATTGAAGATGAATTTCACTTTATTTTCTATTGTCCATATTTTGTCCATCAAAGTCAAAGGAAATTATTAACTCCTCCCAACTTGACTTGGCCCAGTGACAGAAATATGCAATGATTGACTCATGATAAAAGATATGTGTACAACCTGTACATTTTTAGTATGGAAACTTTATTTAACAAATGAATGTTCTTTATGATGTGATGTAGGCCTATGGCCTTAAACACTGAATAAACTTACTTACTTACTTACTTACTAATCTTCAGTCAAACACAGAATCTCAAACTCTCAAACTCAAATTTATGGATAGCTCAAACTAGATCTATGCCATTCCCCAACTGAACTGCTGCATTAAAAAAAAATTGAACTATGACTGTGACAAAAACATGCCTGTCTCTGCACAAAGCAGCTATGGGAGTCCATGCCCACTGCTCTCTCCTGAAAATGGTGATGTGGTGTGGGATGCAATTGGGGGTTCATAAGTTCCGTTATTTTCTGAAAACAAAAAAGGTACAGATTTTGTAGTAGCCTACCTCCAAAATTCTGCAAAGTTTGAACTTTGAGAGTGTCATCTATTGATGAAAGTTATGGTTTTGAACACTTCCATTTTCTGTTAATGGTATTTTACAACTGCATTTTTGATGGTCATAGCTTTGCATGTTATATATATATACATTTTTTTTTGGTACTCCTCTAGGTTACTACTGCGAGTAGTCCACTGAAGAGAATGTCAAATGGTGACAGTTCTGGCTTTGGGGCTGCTGGTGTAGAATTTTCAGATGCCTTCCCAAGTTCAGATTACCAAAGTAACAACAGTGGAGCTGGCTCTGGGAGTTTTTCATTACTGGCAGTGGTATGAAAAATGTGGATTCACTTGTGTATTGAGAAGAGAAAAAAGGGATCTCTCTTATATACTTAAGTGGTGTTGACATTATTGTAATGCTGAAAAGTAATATTGTCTGTTTGATTGTGCTAGGTTGGAGAGGTGGACTAACCAGTGTACACTCAGTCTAATTATATGGATATCAGTTTGAATGATTCAGATTTATTTATTGATATTATCTCCCAACATATTTTTTACTGAATAACTATGCATTAAAAAACGTGGAGTTTGTACAATTGAAACTACTTGTTCTTTTGAAACTATCTGACACTCCTTTGTTGAAACTATTGTAGATTCTGTGCTTCAGTAAGTTGTTCAGTTGATGTATGTGACACAACATGGTAGAATCAGGCGCAATTTTGGGCATATATTTCCCCACGTGGTATGGACACGATAGTAAAACACAACGTAGGGATAGGGTCAATTGCAAATCTCAACTCTTATTCAAGATAGATGATTATTTTTTCACCAAAAGCAAGACAAATGAACAAGCCTTAAGATGACACCAATAACTTCATATGCCAAAAAATGTATGAGAGCCTGAAAACATTACACAGATCACTTTCTTACAGTTCTTCTTGTCTGTTCATAACTTACCCTATCCTATCATCCAGCTATCTCAATTCTGACTGATTTGAAGTTTACCAAAATAGAGAAATAAAATGTGGGCAGCTGTTTGGTGCATTTCTATAATCACACTGTTTGAAACTTTTTCTCCCCAAGGATCCCAAGCTTGTCCGACACAATGAGAAGTACATATGCCCCATCCACAAAGGTCTCCTGCGGGACGCGGTGCAGACTTCCTGTGGACACCGGCTGTGCTTTGCCTGCGTCAACGACTACCTGGGTACTGAGACTTCCAAGATGTGTCCAGCGGGAGAGGATGACTGCGAGTCAGTGACCAGGGACACTGTACGTCATTTTATGTATTTCTCCTCCCCCCCCCCCTCCAAAATGTGGCATACTGTTGATAGGTTTCCTCCCCTTCACGCCTTTAGTACATATCACCGCCCTGTACCACCGCCACTTCCTCGAGAACATTTTGCTTTATTACTCTACATAAAACTCATAAGAACAAGAATATGTGTCCATGTACTTAGAAGCTATGGAAAGTAATGTGCATTGAGAATGGGTTTCACCATACAAGTTCAATGAAGCCTTTTCCTTTTGTTTGTTATTCAAGGTTGTGCCTGACCCTGGCTTCCGGAAGGAGATAAGGAGGGTTCTTGTCTTCTGTAGCAATGAGAATGAGGGATGCAAGGAACAGCCCCAACTTCAACATTTGCAGGTAATACTGTTTGAGAAAGTAGAGTGACAGTTAAGAATATGCACATACTGAGGTTTTGAGGAATGACTGGCCTTACGTTGTATGGAAAAGAGTGAGTGAAATTTGCTATTATTACAATTTTATACCCACTGAAAAAACTTTCAGGTGATTCTTAAAAGTCTCCATTTGATTATAGTGGGCAGTGAGCTGAGAGTTCACTATTTATAGATAACAAAAGAGCAAAGCTTATTTTGTATTTAGTCCTTTATTGAAACTGATTATCTTATTATTTTACCTGTCGTGACTGAGCCATGTCTTTTATTTAATGCATAATCTTGAAAGAAGAGCCTGACTGTTTCTGAGAAAAACTTGCTGACTAGTTCCTTTTCTCTTGAGCAATGTTCACTAGGGAACCAAGTTAGCAATGAACAAATTCATGTCTGCTTCATATACTGTTGACCAGCTGTTTAGATGTCCTAAGCCGAAAATTTAGAAGTTTTTTTTTTTAATGCAGTTTTTTTCATCTGGAGTATTAAAGTCTCTTCATTTCCAAATACTGTACAAGTTATATTAAGAATGTTAAAGAAAACTCTTTGTTTTTCTGCCCAGAGTCATTTATTAGTGTGTGATTACCGCAAGGTGGCATGCCCTTACACTGTACGTGGCTGCCCCAACGATGAGGTCGTTTTGGCCAATTTAGAAAAACATAAAGCTGACTGTGACTTCCGACCTATCTCCTGTGAGTTGTGTGGCGTGGTGCTGAATGCAAAGGACAAGAAGGTAAGGACCATTGTGGGCATGTTCATTTTTCTTACATTCAAATGTCTTCGATCCTATTCCTTCGCTATCACTTTATTCTCCGTGAGGATGAGCTTTCGGGGGAGGGGACCCGAATATATATGTGTAATTGAATGTTTGAATCAAAATGCAGTCGAACCTGTGTAAGATGGCCGCGCAGTGTCAAGGAGAGAAGTGGTTTTATAAGACAGGTGGTCGTCATACGCAGGACTGATGAAAATGAAGAAAACAAACCATTCACTTTTGAGGTCCTGGCTGGAGATGGTTGCAGGCTTAGGACTGCCGTGGCGCTCAGTAAAATTTGTTGTTGTTGTTTTTTTTTTTCCTTTTGAAAGGGGGGGGGGGGGGGGAAGATAGGGCGGTTTATATTTGGAACTTTTTGTTGTTAGTTTTATTATTATCATTTAAAAAAAAATTAACGTTCCGTGAAACGTCAAAGCTAAACAAAATGTGTCAGACGAGGGAGGCCAAGTGCCACTGTAAAACAAACAGATGGGTCGCCACCACTCAGCGAATGAGCAACTCTTTGGACGCAAGTTTGTGTTGATTTCTATTGTTATGGACTGGGTTTGCGGAATGAGTTGTGGGCAGGGCTTATAGGTTATGACGGATCACAAACTTCCCTTACCAGCAGCTGAAAATTTATTTTTACCCATTGGTCAACTTGGGTAAACATTGGGGGTGACCCATGCAACATGACCCTTTCATCCATTTGAGGGACTGATAATAATAACAGGGGAATGAATCATGATGGCTTGTCCACAGTGACATGGGAAAATGCATAATTTTTTACAGAGCCTGGCCGTCTCAGGCAGATAAATTTGGCTGTGGGTTGATAAAATAGGGTGGCCGCAGCCGTGTTGGACAGGTGTCCATTTTACATAGATAAATATACAAATTATACCGAAAAAAGGCAAGTGGAGAAATGGAAAGTGGCCGTTTGTACAGGAGACCATATACAGGTGGCCGTCATGGCAGATTCGACTGTATCAAAATTCTCTTGTTTGTGGAGTGCCACCCATATGCCACAACTTCTGTAGCACAGTAGTGATGTGGAGCCTGTCTTTAAATCGTTTGTGTCTTGTAGGGAGTTACGATACACTCAAATATTTATTTGTTTTAAGAGTTTTTATGTTACTCAACCCCAGTGATTTGTTGTTGAAGAGGAGCTACTACCTCATTTAAACTTGACTGTATTGTAAATGGGCTGATTCATCATGTCACGCTCATAACTGTGCCTGATCTGCAACAGGGAACTGCTGCTTTTTCTTTCCTAATCCTTACTATTGTCATTTGCCTCTACTTCTTTTATATGTTTGTCACTCTCTTGTGAACTGCTATTTCCGGGGTGCCTTGATAGTTGAAGCAGACTTTGTGCTGTTGAAGCTAGAGAGGTGAGCAGAATAAGTCTGATTCCTTGTAAGGACTTCTCTGTTGACACCCGCCCCTTGGCGCTCATATGACCTAATGCAGTTGCAAGCGCCGTAAAACCCTCTACTAAAAAAAACAACCAAAAAACTTGGCTGTGTTGAAAGTGGTGTTGAATGTATATCTTAGTGTCTGCTCTGCTTTTTTTCTATTGATTTTGCCTGTTGCTTGTGTATGTTCTCCTTCCTTCTAAACATTGCAGGACTTCTTTCACATTGCCTCCCCCTCCTCCTCCTCCTCCTCCTCCTCTGGTGCACACAAATTGTGCTGTCTGTTTTCTATCCCGAGGCTGCCATACAGTTTTTTCTCCACTGGTGTAGCGTTTTGCCATGTCTGTGCTGTAGGGTTGTGAAGTGAATACAGTGCTTTAGGATATGTTGGCTTGTTTTCTGGGCTCTGGTCACATTGACAAAGGGGTGTGGTGTGTCTCTGACTTTAAATTTGGAGTGCATGTCCATATTTTGGTTCAGTGTTGCTCATCTTTTTTTCACTATAACTAAGGAGTCAAAGTCGCAAACTACTTCTTGGGTATAGAGATTTTCAGATTTTTAAAATCTGAAAGGCTCTTTATTAGCGCAGAGGAGAACAATGTTTTTGCAAACTTGTTTTCCTTCTAACTGGTTTTCTGATGTGTTCTTTTCATTTAACAACTGTTCGATGTGTTTGCTCTAATTTAGTTATGTTTTTTTCTCTAATGTGTTTTCAGAGTCATGATAAAGAATCGTGTCCAGAAGCAACAGTTACATGTCCTTACAACTGTGGGGTAAAAAACTTGAAGAGGAAAGACGTGAGTTTTCTTTTAACTTTGTTACCTCTTCTTTGCATTCCCCTGCTAGAGCTCAGGGGTAGTCTACTGCTGGTTCTTCCACCTGCAGTGCAACTGATTTTTACACCAGTGACCGTTTTTACTGCTCTGTAGGGCTCCTTTCCTTCAGGCAACCTCATTCTGATTTTGAAGGTACTCTCTATATTTTTATACTGACTAGAGTATTTTCAATTTTGGTTGGAAAAATTAATTTTGATGTTTGCCTAAGCGGCGGCCGAAGCCAAATCTTATTAAGTTTAAGACTATCGAGAGATCTTTAATGTGAGCAACTTGCACACAGGACCTCTGAGATTATTCATCCATATCCGAGACGGTTTGGTGTTAATTTTTACTTATCTTATGATCAGGGGTGTGGGTTAGTGACAGCAGTAAAAAGTGAGCCAGGAGTAGCAGTAGAAAAAGTCTGGGGTAAAGGAGAGAGGAGCCCTAAGAAGGCCTGGGAGGGGCGAGAAAATGAAACAGATAACAGAACAGGGCTAGAGAACTGGAGAGGAGGTGAAAGCAAAAAATTGTAGAGAATATTTGTTGGCCGATGTCAGGTTTCAATCCCGGGACCCTTTGAAAGAGACGCGAACACTGTATGTCTAGACCACAAGAGCCCCCTGCTCTGTGGCTTAATACTTTAATTTTTGTCTCCGCGAATGTAGGCTAGAGATGACTGGGTCATCATGTGTTCTTTATGGCTGATATTTACCAGGAAATATTTGTTTTCTGTTTCTCAACGCAAAGTCCTTCTGGCATGTTATTGTTATGTTGCAGTGCTTTCTTTTCCCATGCTTAAGAGGACCTCATGCATTGAGATTTACTTTTCAAGCCGTGCATGAGCACACTGGTCAGTATTCATGTCTGCTGCTGTGTGCATACCTCACAGGTACTTCAAGCAGTTTGTAAGGCCTCCATTTTGACAAAAGTAATGTCAGTGTCTTGAGACCCATATGGGAATGGGGCAATTTCTGTATGAGGTTGCAGCATAATTTCACTGCAAGATTCTAAACAACTGACTCCGAAAATGTGGGTTTTGGTTTTTTCCCTTAAATTCTGACAGACATCATGCAGCTCATCCTATAAATAACTTACAGCCAGATTAACCATTCCAATTATAGCTACAACATTGGACTCTACGCAGATAAAATGTTTATAATAGCCATGCTGTTTCGTTTTTTCCACAGAAATGTATTCTTAAATGGACATAAAAGGTGTTGAGCCAAAAATAAAAAATTCCCAGACTGGTGGAAAAATGCTGGTTTCTTTAATTTCATAATTTTGACGAGCGCCTGATTTCACCATGCTGCCTCACATATGAGAGTGATGAAAGAGCTACATTCACTTGTGTTCTATGCAAGTCAGATATAGAAAAGTGTCTTTTTCCTCCCATTCTGGACTCGTATGACTGGACTTGCAGGACAGCTGTGTAGACAATGATACTTGCACCATAATGATTTAGTAGAGAGAAGTAGGTAAATGAATTTGAGAAAGATTGCACAAAGAGTTACTGGAGAAGGTATATGTATGTGTATGGGGGGGAGGGAAGAGGGGGTACTCTTTATGTTTTTCATTCCATTCTGTTTTGTTTTTGTGTTTTTTTAAGCTGGAGAACCACAAGCTGACGTGCCCCAAAAGGCCGACAGAGTGTCAGTACAAAAGTCTAGGGTGCACATTTTCGGTAAGTAAGCGTTCCAATTATCAGTTGTGTCTCCCGGGACAAATAATTTATCATCACTGTATGACCTTTTTCCACCGCTGGTCTCAGAAAGTCAAGTGTTTGTCTTCTCAGCATTCAGGTTTTGTTTGTCTTCTCAGCATTCAGGTTTTATGACTATTTCGCCCTTTGATCTTATCTTTGTTTCTCGGAGGATTTGCTACTTTGTTTTGGCATCTCTCTCCTTAACTCATTCGCTACGTATTATTTTCGGCTTGTGGACAAATTTTTTTCGGGAAGGCGAAATGAGATGATGACTAGTGCGCAGTTCACAGGTCTTGGGGGCCATAAATTCAAATAAATATCAACATATTATATACCAACATTTTCAGTATGGTTTGTAGAATACATCTGTATTGTTTATTTGAGTATTTTTTAACTTTGGTTCCTGTAAGAGGCGATTATGCAACACAATTGTGATTGGCTGCGGATAAAATTTGAAAACAAAAAATTTATAATCTCAGATGAAACTCAAAAAATATGTTTGCATCTAGTCAAATTATACATCAAAATAACCATAACTGTATATAGAACAGGAAAATATTGAAAAATGAGCAGTTATTTACATACATTCCATAATATTTGTACATTGGGATCATAACCTCCGATATTGAAAAAAAATAATTTTAAAATAATTTTGAAAAAAGGATCCCAAACAGAAAAAAACACTCTTATCTTATATGGAATTATTCAGAATTGCATTTGGAATAAACCTATACATGTCTTGGGTGGTACTTTTTGAGTAAATTCACCAAAAAGTAGTGATTTTGTGGAGAAAAAAAACATTTTGACTATTTAGATCTAGGCCTAGATCTAGCACTCAAAAATATTGATTTCTCAATTACAGTGCACTGGCAATTTGAGTCCAGTAGTATCAATATTATAAGAAGAGTCCTGCACTTCTTTAGTGAGCAAAATAGTGATACATTTTGTTGTGTAAAAGTACAAAGACTGGTGTCTGGCTATAATTTGGGCTTCGCGATAAAAAGAAGTCGCATAAACTTCGGAATCGTGTTTCAAAACTGAATCAAAACTTCCGATTTTTGGTGGAAACGCTTGACCCGGAAGTCAACTTTATATTATGACCTTTATTTTAACATGGATATGTGGATTGGAATAGAAACCAAGCTAAAATTGAACGTCGGTTTTCGAGCCGCCGGGGGCGGCTTAGCGTACTGACGGCACTCTAGCCGCGCCGCCCCCCACGGCTCGGCGTAGCGAATGAGTTAAATATTAACATTGTAATAACTGCTGTGACTCATGAAGCTAATAAACAAGGAAGTGACTGGGTGTTTCTATTTGCTGGCTACTTGCTGAATATTTTACCGGATGACTCATCTGTGTGTGAGCCTGCTGTTTTGTTTTGTAAAATAATCTCAGCAACAGTTGTTGATTAATTCACCTGCTGTGAAGAATATTTCTTTCTTGTCATTGTGTGTTGATACTTTCGGAGTACTTTTACTTGATTGAAAAAAACAACAACAACTGTATACTGTTTGATACCTTTTCACACAGATTGGTTGGAGAAGGGGACTAATCACTCAATTGCTTTGACCTACTTTCAGAATGAAAAAAAAAATGACAGTATATATTATTTACTCACGGAAAAATGAAAGTTTGCTCAGTTATCAAATATTATATACTTACAAACCAATTTTCTTTAGAAAATCCATTCCTTTTTCTTAATGCCGCACACATCAAAGAAGAAGTCGTGAGGATAAATAGTTTTAATTGAAGTGTTCGTTTTTACTTTAAAATGTTTTGAGCACCCCATTTTCCAAATTCACAAAATCAGTACCGCGTGTGGCCACCTGCCACTATGATAAATGGTTGATACTGTCTAGGCATGGAAAAGATAAGTTTTCGGATAAACTGCAGGGTGATCTGCAGCCAGATTCTTTCTATCGATTGCTCAACTTCATGTCACGTTTGGGGCTGGTTAGGTTGTTGTGGTAGCCACTTTCCCAATGGACGTTCAGTAGAGGAAAGATTTGGTGATACAGCTGGCCAGTCTAGGACATTAATGCCGCTGTTCTGGAGTTGTTCAGTGGAGCCCTGCAATGATACAGTGTGCTGTACAGCTTGCTAATCTACTCTTTGGTCTGTTCTATGGGGCTGTTGGGAACATCAATCTAGCTAATGTGAAAGGTTGAAGAGAAAGCACTATGTTTACAGTCAACAACTTAAATTACAGTTAACGAAAGAGGTAAATGAGAAAAAAATATATGAAAAAATGAAATTGTCCGCAAGCATTCCATTTTCAATTTTACGCTGTGGACTATCATCACTATTTGAGCAGCTCTCTCAAAACCAAAAACGTGGCTGAACATAAGAAAATCTGGCAGTCCCACCAACTTTGGTGTAAGGGAACTCCAGTGATATATATCTGTTGCGTTGATTTTCTAGTGGTTAGGCTACCGGACTTGTAATCGTGATGTTGCGGGTTTGGGGGTTTGGTCCTTGAGCCCGACTTTCTGTCCTTGGGAAAGGCACTTTACACGAATTATCCCCACTTCACCCAAGTGGGAATGGGTACCCAGCCATAGACAACGAAAGATTTTGTCAGTATGTTAGTGTTTTAGCGCCTATAAAATGGCAGCTTTCACTGTATACTTCCCAGGAAGTTGAGATTGTTTCAGAATGCTATCAGGTCTGCTGGGGTAATACCATAGATTTAAAGCGCATAAAGCTTGCTGTTGAGCAGGAATTTGCGCTATACTAATGTTATCTATTATTATTATTATTAATATTTGTATTCTCATTGTCATACATACTTTTCTTATTATCTACTAACATATCTCAGGGTGATAAGAAGGATGTTCAAGAGCATGAAAAGAACATGCATCTTCATTTTGAGGTTCTTCTCAAGTGGGTCATCAACAGTGAAATTGAGAAGCGACTGCACAACACAGAAATACGAGTAAGAACCTTGAAACATATGTCCTTATATAAAAATGAAAGGAAATTTGGCTGATTTTTTGTTTGTTTGTTTTTTTAACAGTTATAAGAATATTCCTAGAATGGTTGAAAATAACACTTTCGCAAGTATGTTAAATTATAAAGGAAACAGAATGATATAGGGAAAAAATTATTTTTAATGTTAAGGTGAAAATTGCATTGGAAGGACAACTTTAAACACAAATTTGTTTGTTTGTTGAAATGTCATTTTCTTCTCTGAGAAAACTTACATATCTCTTAAAATGTTTCAGGGCAAGGGAACTAAAATAATGATATTGCATTATATATGATCCTTTATGCTTTGTAATATTCCACAGGAAATGAAGGCACAGGTTTTGGAGTTACAGACAATCAACGAGAATCTGTCCAAGCAAATAAAAGATAATCACAAAGATGCCAGGGTATGTTATTTGTAGTCTCTTTGTGATCATAGAGGAAAGATGACTTGTGTTGAAAACATAAGCTTGTATTTTGTAATTTCATTTACTTTTGTTTGTGTCGTCTCATATTTTGTTTTTAATACTGCAGTCTCCGCCTAGGATCCCGCTACTCGGGAGCAAGAAAATGTTGGATCTTAGGCGAACAGGATCTTAGCCGACACCCCAAGGGAAGAATCCATGGCGACTCATGTTCAAGCTCATAAACGATGAAAAGGTCTCCCCTTACCCTGAAATGAACTGACGTGACCTCTGACTATGTTTATGACTTATGGCGAGCAAAGGGTGGTCAACTTTAATGACCGGTCACATTGACATGAGTCAGTTTTCACTTATCCTATCATGAGTCTCAAGATCTACGCCGATCGTATTGCTCCTCCCCTTTACCTGTTCAGCATTATAGCTTTCCGTCTCTGACCGAGCTCCCCTGCACTATTGTGTTGTGAATGCACCAAGGGCCTTAGAATAATTTATAACATCCTTGGACCCTACCGATTAAAATTCAGTCTGTCGAGCAAATTTGTGTGTAGAGACAACTGCTGCGATGGTTAGGAAAGCAAAGCACTGAAGAGTTCGCAGTTCAATGTGAACCCGTCTGATGTGGACTTGTATGCCTTACCCACCCAGGTTGTGTTGTAAGTTCAGGGGGACAGCTCAGATAGAAGTGCGTTGTTTGGGGAAAACAAATGCACCTATGAGTTTACATCTCAGTAGGGGAACTCTCGTGATTTAGAGGTTATGGTGTTCGCATCTCATTCTGTAAGTCGCGGGTTCGAAACCTGACAGTGACGGAAAATTTTTTCTTCCAAAATTTTCTCCTTTCGCCTCCTTTCCTGTTCTCTAACCATGTTCTGTCATCTGTTTTCGTCTCCACATTCCACCCCCTCAACACCCTCCCCTTTTCCTGCTCCTCTGGACCCTTGACTCTTTCTGCAGCCTTTCCACTGCTACTCCTTGGCTCCTTCTTACTGCTGTCTTTCAGCCACACCCCTGATTTTATGGTAGATAAGATCTAACACCTAGCCTTCTTTGATAAGCGCGAAAAAATCTCAGAGGTCCCATGTGCAAGTTGCGCACGTTAAAGATCCGTTGGTGGTCCCAAAATCTATAAGAGTTGGCTTCGGCCACCACCTGGGCAAAATTCAAAATTCCTACCAAACTGACAATGTTTAATGTGTCCTGCGCGCTCATATGACCCTATGCAGGTGCGAGCGCTGTAAAACACTTATACACTTCAGTGCGATCCTGCTTTAGGCAAACCTTATACTGTTTCATAGAGATTTGCAATGGAGCTTTGATCACATTCATGAGAGTGGATGATCCGTGATGCAACAGTCAGTAAAATTACACAAATTTTGGCTGCTTGGCTGATCAGCTGTGCCCGCCCACGTTTTTGTACCATTAATTATTATCTGAAATGCAGGATCTTAGTCGAATGTAATCCTTCAGAGTGGGATCTTAGGGGTGACTTTTGTGTAGTAAAAATTCTGTTTTCTTAAAGCAGTCTTAAGCGAACTGGAATTGTAAGCGATGCGATCTTATGTGGAGACTACGGCATCTGGATTTTTTAAAAAGGTGATGGAATGGCATCTTTTTACTCATAATGATAGCTTATGTGGTTTCTTTTTTAAAAATGAGCTGATTGTGTCAAACTTCTGGTCTAGTCAAGTTATCTTCTTTTCTGAAAGAGATAGGCGTGATAACAACTTTTATCTGCTATTTACGAATTTATTATTAATATTTCCGACACCTCAACTGTGCCTGTATGTGTGGTCACGATTCGCTTTGTACTTTGGAACTGTCATTTTGCATATAAACATTACATTTGCTTTGAAAGAGCTATAGTGTATACTTTGTCACCAACAGCTGAAGATTGTCTCTCAGATTGAGAGGAGTATTCAATTCGAGAGCACGGCTAACACGCAGATTGCCGAACTGAAGGCAGAGCTTCAAACAGAAATAACTGCTCTGAAGTCTCAACTTGAACCCCTCTGTAAGTGCTACGTGTTTGCCGAGCTAGTTGTCGTTGTTGAACAGAAATGTAGATTTGTGGTGGTTGGATGTAATTGAAAATTTCAATGTTACTGTAGTTGCTTTCGTCACAAGTGATATTTGACTGAAAACATTATGAAGTCTTAAGGACTTCCCTAAAATAGAAGTAGAAAGTATGGTTGCTATTTTTCCTAAACAGATTGTTATTAAAGGACTCTGAAGATTCAATGTTTTATATTTGTGAGGTGTTTGGTATATGTGAGGCAGGCTGACAAAATGAGTTACTTCTCACACTCCATGAATGGAGTTATTGGCCAAAAATCAACATAAGGGTCAAATTTATTGATTTTATATCAATAAATTTGGCCTTATGTTGATTTTATACTGATGCCATTCTTGTCAAGTTTAATGTGTCTTTTACTAATATAAATTAATAAATTGTAAAAACTCAATCTATAATTTTGACATATTATTTCCATAGGGCTAACTTCCGAGAAGTAGCTCATTTTGTCAGCACACCTCATATATATACTGTTACGTTGTGGGTGGGCCAAAAAGCTTCTACTTTGTCCTGACTTATGCAGTTGTTTTTTTTAGGCCTACCTGCTCCTACGCTTGTGTGCACAGTTTAAAAAGGCTCCCTTTTTTATTTTCATATTTGCAGAAATTCCACCTCATATCATAATACATATATGTATGCTATCTGGTTTGCAGTCAGGGTTTTGTGATAAGAATGAGGGGCATGCTTTTGATCACCTCCTTGTCTGTCATTTCACTGTGTGGAAGTGCCCAGTCAAAATGACTTTGGATGTTCTTTGAAATGTGCTGCAGAGGATGACTAAATAGGTCAAATAATGACTTATCAGAAAAGGGAGTAAAAAGGGGACTGAAAGATTTGTATTCTAGAGAATGATACCAAATGGGAACTCCATACATGCTATATTTTGACCTCACATAAGAAGAAATATTCTTTTTACTCTCAATGAGAGGAATTGTGTATTAAGTTCAATATTACTGTAGCAATTTTTTGCTCTTCTTGTCTCAGTTTGCTGCTTCAAAACTAAAGTGTTGAAAGAGTAGTTGAGACAGTTTAGAAAAAGACGTTTTATTTTATTTTTATCTCCAGATGGTAGATTCTTATCATCCGCATTCTCCACAATGGGCCCCCAAAACAGGGCCTAAGATGACCAGGTGGCCTACCTAACTGGCGTGATGGTCATGAGCTTGTAACAATTATACCATCTTCTGCAGTCAGGTCTTGACTGTGAGAGTTAATCAAAGTGAGAGTAGAATTTCAAAAGCAAATTTATTAGACATGACATGAGAATTGGAAAGCATGAATTGAGTAATGGATTCCAGTTGCACGGATGTAAAGAATAATATCGAACCCTTACATAATATGTAAAGGCATGAGAAGGGAAACCTTGTGTTTTATCACTTACCCTTCGTTAAGGGTAACTCACCTGTGATGTAACAGATATAATGCTTTCTGGTACACCAGCTGAAGATGCCACGCCTCCAATGGTAAAAACATGCAAATTGTACACTTTCTAAATGGTTTGTACTGTTTGTTTCTCCTCACCAGCTTCTCAAGTGACTGCTCATGATCGGGAAAACTCTGGGCGAGAGATTCGCCTGGCTGAGATGGATCTCCGTTTCCAGATGATTGAGACTGCTAGTTATAATGGGAAGCTTTTGTGGAAGATCAGAGACTTCACCCAAAGGAAGAGGGTACGTGGAGTGGTATACCTAAAAATGTATATGCTCCCACGATGCTCTTACTTGTCTGGGAATTTAAAAAATGCTATATACCCCTGGTTTGTGGAAAAAGAGTCTGATGTCTATTTTTAGCTGTTCCAAAGATGTGTAGTCTCATTTTCAAAAATTTTCCTTTTCTATTTATAACCATCAGCAATGAAGAAACTTCTGATCCTGGTTCTGTGAAAAGGGTCTTAGACAAATATGGGAGGAAAGTTACAACATATTCAACTATTTGGCCTTTTTCCCCCATATATATGTTTACCTTACTCTTTTGATGTAACAGGTTTGGAGGTGTGGCGGCTGTGAGGGTAGATTTCTATTCTTGAAATTTACGGGTCGTAGGTTCCATTCCTAGTTATGGTTAGTCTGAAATTGTTCCTTTTGAAAGTCATTCTACATGATTTTCTTCACTTAAACCAGCTTGGAATAAGACACCTAGATTTATTGGGAGTGCTTGTATGTGTGTGTGTGTGTGCGCGCGTGTGTGTGTGCGCGCGCGGCGTGTGTGTGTGTGTGTGTGTGTGTGTGTGTGTGTGTGTGTGTGTGTGTGTGTGTGTGTGTGTGTGTGTGAATCTGTGTTTATGTGTGAATGTTGTGTACATATTATGCATGTGTGTGTCTGAATCTGTGTACTTGTTTTCTGTGAAGGTTTCTTTCATCTTGTACCAAAGATAATTCTGAATTACCAGTTACACTTTACGCTGTTCTCAACAGATGAGTTGTGCTGCTCTTTAATTTCTTTAGGGCCTCTGACACTTTTTTTTTTCTTTGGTTTCTCGAAAAGGATGCAGTCCAGGGTCGTACAGTGTCCCTGTACAGCCAGCCGTTCTACACCAGTCGCTTTGGCTACAAGATGTGTGCCAGAGTGTATCTCAACGGGGACGGCATTGGCCGGGGGTCACACATGAGCCTGTACTTCGTGGTGATGAGAGGAGAATATGATGCTCTCTTGGCCTGGCCATTCCAGCACAAGGTACCTTGTTGCCATCTCATCTCGTGTTATGTGTTGTCTATGTGTGTGTGTGTGTGTGGAGGGGGAGCGGGGGTGGTGGTGGGGAGACGAGGTTAACAGTATATTTGGATCCCCATCTTTCAGAGCTGATTTGTCCTAGTATGCAGACTGATGAGGGTGGGGGGGGGGGGGGAGTTCATACTGGCAGGGTTGAAAGCAGCGGACCCCGTTAATGAACTTAATTATGTTCAAGGAGACGTAAAACTTCTACAATGTCAATTTTATATTATATTTTATGCCATCATTGCGTAGAAGATTTGTACTTTCTTTATACCAGTAGCATGTTCATTGGTTTATAAAGATTCATGCTCTTTTAATTACCTAAATTGTTTCAATGTGGCTGTGAAACATGTTTATAAAAAAGCCTGATGACTAGCTCCCACTCTGTGCACAGGTGAGTCTGATGCTACTTGACCAGTCCACGGAGAAGCGCCACATGAAGGATGAGTTTTACCCTGACCCCAGCAGCACCAGTTTCCGGCGTCCGGTCAACGCAGAGATGAACGTGGCGAGCGGCTGCCCGCTGTTTGTGGCACACACGGTGCTGGACAACCCCAACAACCAGTACATCAAGGACGACGTGCTCTTCATCAAGGTCATGGTTGATACGAGTCAGCTGCCGCCGCTGTGAGAGCCCCGTGGCAGCAGACCGGAAATCCTCTCGCCGATCCACAAAGGGGTTTCCCTCGTACCTCCTCCCTCTTCAATTTTTTATTCAGATGAATAGGAGGATTGGGCCTTGTTTTTTTCGCCACCGTAGATTTGTGGATTCTGGCGCGTTATAAATTCATTCATTGTTATTGTTATCATTTCAATATTCGACGTATTTGAGTAGTGTTTGCTCTTTCTGCTGATCATTCGAAGACTGCCTCTCAAATCAAATAGTTTTTTATGGCAATGAGGATTTTGAGATTTTGATTTCATTTTTAAAAAATGCTGGACAAATGGATTTAAAAGGTGGTTTACACCAAGATAATTTTCTCTACTGCACATTTCCTTTTGATGTGTTGGCAGGTAGCTCACACAATACCTTTTACTGCCTCAAATTCACACACTGTCAAAAAAGATTTTTTGTCAAAAGTGTCACTGAAATATCAGACTCTTTGGGTTTCTTTTCCGCAGTCTTTTCTGAACACTTCTGCATTTTCAGACATTTTTACTGATCATTCGTAAAAAAGTTAATCATCCCACCAGAAACTAGATTGTGAGAACTGAAAATGGGTTTGAGAAAAACACAAGGCGTTTTTGGCCGCCGTTTTGAAATTTACATAGACTTGACAGTTACTTCATTTCAAGCTTGAATTTGGTGCAACTCTCTGAGATTGCTATTTTTGTTTATGGCTCTGCTATTTTTAAAAATTTGACTCTTGTTTTGATAACAAACCTGGGTAAGTCAAGCATATGTTTTTCTTTACAACTGAAAAGGCTTATGCTTGCTTCTTACTCTCACACTGTTTTTTCATGGCACACTGAGCAAAAACAATCACTATATATATGAACGTGTAAATTTGAGTAGTGACATTGCTTTTGCACCTGTGGTGTTAAGATTTTAGATGAAAAGATTTTCACACAATTTTTTCAGTGCTCTATCAGAAATTTGAAATTTTAAGATTTAGATACCTTGAAAGTAGCAGGTTACAAAAATATGGCCAAATGAAGAATGTGCTTGTCATTCTCAGAATCCTCCCAGAAAAGGCAATAAGCAGGGTCTCCATCAGTTTTGCCCTAGAATTTAGTTCCTGAAAAGTTTTTGACTCTTTCTAATTTTGCTTATTTGGCAGCAAGTGTCCTTGTTTTTAGTTGTATGTGCACTCAGAGCAGCTTTTATGAGAACAATGAAGTAATGATGATAAAAATCTTTTGGTGTGTTGTTGAAAGTGTGTTTAAAAACATTTTTTTCAATGTGTTTGAAACTGAGTCCTTGACATTTGAAAGCCTGTCTTTTGTACTGCTCACCTTGGTTGTTTTTTTCCAGTTCGCAGAAATATTTCCTGTGTGATGATGAATATGATGACACCGTAACCAATATGAATCTGATTTTTGTGTGGTCTTTTTACTGCCTGTACGTTTCTCTATACAGTGTATTTATTATTTTCAATTGCGTGGGTTCTTTTCTGCAAGTGGTCATGGCTTTTTTAAATTGAGTCTTGATTTCACTTTTTAACTGAATTTTTTAAAGTCTTCTGTTCAAAGCTTACGTGGCTGCCCAAACTGCCTGAAATATTGTTTTTCAAGGTGATAATTTCCCCTGAAGATGATGATTTTCCCTTTTATATCATAGGTATGTAGAAGTCTTCACCTCAAAAGTTGTTTCCTGCTATGTCATAAGAGATTCTTGATTCATTTTTGTCTATATCATTGTAATTTAGCTCCTTATCAGTTGGATTAAAAATAAAAAAATGTGTGATTCATCTCCTTATCAGTTGGATTAAAAATAAAAAAATGTGTGATTCACGTTACAGGACAGTAGGTCATTAATGTATATGAGTGTAGTGCACTCCAGTTTGATGTTGTTCATGAAAAGATTTGCTGTGATGTACCTGTTTTCGGAGTCCAAAACATTAGCCGGCACCATTAATTTAGACCGATGGGAAGAAAGATGTTTCCAGACAATGCGTGAAGAGTTTTCATGTTCTGCAGCTTGATGAGGGCTCTCGTTTGATATAAGCAGTTTGCCTCTGTTCGGTTTTACCATTTTTTGTCCGAGATTTTATGCCTGTGTGTTAAGTCTCCCATCTTTCAACGTCCTAGAGCTTTTGCTTTGACATTCATCGCTCATTCTAAGGTTCTCATCACTGTATGCCCCTTCGGCCAAGAGGTTTGGGTAGATGCACACCTGGTGGTACGGTCAGTGAGAGACGGTGGCCCCTGCCATTTGTACAACTACTCCAACTTTCCCCATGGCCGTGGTTGTTGGCACAGCGAAAACAAAAGATCATCATTTAAAAAAAAAAAAAAAAAAAAAAAGAAACTTCACTTTTTAAAATAATTGCGGGAAAATTCAAATTACAATGCAGTGCTGTATATAAATGCTTACTGGGAATATTTTGCAAGCTATAACATGTCATATTATGCATTATTTTGCCACTACGCGATACGCCATCTTCCAGGCTTCTTTGTTGTTGGACTCTCTTTCCTTCTAACATAGACCGGTTGTTTGGGAAAAAAGAAAATGTTGCCAGAAACATGTATACGCATAAATTGTGAAAGTCAACCGATTTCGATAAAAACCGGAAAGGCAAAGTAAGTAGTAGTTATGAACAGGAAGTAAAGGTCGGCGGTTAGTGCCAAACTGACATACATCGCTCTATTATTATGTTCTCCAAATTTTCACATTTTTTCTCGGAGAAGATAATTATGAAACCCGTGCAGACGCGAAGCGCGACGGAAACATGACCGCACGATGGTCAGCGATTCCGTGGCCGCTGATCTCAGCCCCGGACTTTCTCCGAACCGCGAACCCCGGAAATTCGCGATCCGCAGAAGTCTGAGAGCCCTGCTCATCCACCCCTTGGCGCTCATATAATAATAATAATAATAATATATATAACATTTATATAGCCTATTTCCAAAAAAAAGTAGCTCAATGCGCTTTACATTGGAATACCCATTTTTCAAAAACCTTTCTTACTATTTCCTTTCTTCTCAAGCAATATACATTAATGCACACTCACACACATACACACACACACACACACACACACATACACACACACACACACACACACACACACACACACAGACTATTTTCATCCAGACATAGGAACAGAACAAATATAATGAAAGATAACGTTAAAAGCTTATGAAGGATAGGCCTGTAGGAACAGAAAATGTTTAAGATGTCTTTTGAAGCTATCAAGTGTTCTTATTTGTCTTAGTTTCATGGGTAATCTGTTCCACATAAATGGACCAAGATATGAGAAAGATCTCTCTCCATATGATTTGTATGATTTTACAGGTGTCACAAGTAGGGTGTTATCGTTTGATGATCTTAGGTTTCTCCCTGGTTTATATATACTGATAAGTTCTTGTAGATAAAAAGGAGCAGTTTTATTTACACATTTGAAACACATGACGCAGATTTTAAATATTATTCGTTCTTTTACAAGGAGCCAATGCAGTTCTTTTAATAATGGAGTGACATGGTCTCGTTTTTTAGATCTTGTTATCAGTGTAGCGGCATTGTTTTGAATTACTTGTAAACGATTCAAATATTTGTTTTTCAGACCTGCTAGGAGTGAGTTACAATAGTCTAATCTAGATAGGATAAGAGATGTTACCAGTGTTTTTGTGGTCTCTTCGTTTAAGTACTTTCGAACTAGGCCTATCCTTCTCAGCTGAAAATAAAGGGATTTGGACAGAGATCCTAGAAACGAGCCCATTGATAAGTGGTGGTCAATATATACACCGAGATTCCTGACAACTTCTTTACTAGATGTCATATGCCCATATAAATCAAAGTTGACACTTTCCAGATCTTTATTTAATCGTGGATTTTTTATAAGAATGATGTCTGTCTTTTCTTCATTTAGTTTCAATTTGTTTACTGTCATCCACTTTTTGATTTCATAAAAACATTGTTTAGTGATGGAAATCATGTTTGGTAGATCATGAATGGTGCCATTAACATACATTTGGGAATCATCGGCATAAAAATGATAATTCAATCCATGATTTTGTAAAATGCTTGCTAAGGGCTGTATATATAGTGTAAAGAGCACTGGTCCAAGAACGGACCATATGGCCTTATGCAGTTGCCAGCGCCGTAAAATCTTACGAAAACTAAAAGAGAAGTACATTGTAGTTATATATCTGTGCACTTATTGATGCTTTTGAAGTTTCATTGCTTTTCTAGTGAATATCCACTGTTCAGTGTTGTTCTATTCAATAAATGCTTTGTTCATAATTAAACGATTTATGTGATTTCATTATTTGAATGGAAAGTCTGTGATGATTGCTATTTTTAAGCCTCTGCGTGTGTGTGGGTGTGGGTGTAACTGACTGATCAACTGACAACGTCCACGGTGTTGGCAGATAAATTATAATAATATGGCGACGTGTCGGGTGACAACAGATTTGTGTGGCTATTTTGGACAGGCTTTTTGTGCTGTTGACTGATGAAATATATAGCAGCCGTTGTGTTGAACAGGAGAAAACAAGCTTTAAACAAGTTGTTGCTTTAAACAAAAAATAATGGCACTTGTTTAAAGCAACAACCAAAAAGAGGTGAAAAGTGTCCATTTCTACAGGTAGTTGTCTAATACAGGTGGCCATCTGGGCAGGTTTGACTGAACGTATTTGCCCAGCACCTCAGCCGCAAGGTAAGTTATAAAGTGATCCTTGCTTTTAACTGAAGAAAAAGTCAGTTTTAAGAATTAAGAGTACTTTTGAAAACAGGATATTGTCAGCAGCTGTTGAAATGTATGTTTTAAGCCCTAAATATTGAAATGTCTATACATTGCGGTTTATTTCTTTTTCTGTGGTATTGGCTCAAGGTATATTTTCTATATATATATTCGAATTCTATATGTTGAAAAAAGCAAGAATAAAATACATAATTTATGTACATTTGTTAAAAATGAAACCATTTTTTTTCTCTTCCGAGAAGAAGAAGAAGAAGAAGGGGAGGAGAATGAGAAAGAGGAGACGAAGAAGAAGAGGAAGAAGAAGAATGAGAGAAGGAAGAAAAGCAGACGAAGAAGAAGAAGAAGAAGCAGATGAAGAATAAGAAGAAAGGGAGGAGAATGAGAAGAAGAGGAAGAAGAAGAAGAAGCAGACAAGGAAGAAGAAGAAGAAAATAGTCATCATCTATTAAATGCCAAACCAACAAATGAATCTTTTTTTTTTCAAAATCAGTTTATCGTGTTTGTTCAATAGTCCACAAGCAATGCAGGTACAATGTTCATTATAATATGTACAAGTGTAAGGACACCAAGCACCCATCACACACACCTGTACATCGTGTATGTACAACATTGATCATCATTCATTCATTCATGCCTGGTCATACAGTTTATGAAAGCTTTTGATCTGAAACTCTGTAACATCACCATTGCAACATTGCCGAATAAACATTAGTTGAAACTCAATTTCAGGTTGGAGATCACATTATCCAAGGTTGTCCCATAATGTTTTACCTTCCTGTGACTTCATGGACATGTAGTGATGGACATCCAAACTTTTAAATCAAGAGACTGTCACAAATAACAAATATTTCTTTTTGTTTTTACGAGAGTGCATTGAGTGAAAGTTGACGAACAAAAAAGATGTAGCTTCAGAATCTTTAGGACGACTCTCATTGTTGGTGCAGAAATGTGCCATTAAATGAGAACGAAACACATCAAATAACTTGCCAATGACAGAATCGAAAATACATCAAAGATTTGCAAGTTGGAAGAACAGAACTAGAATTTTGCCAAAACTCCTAAACTCATAGGCCTGTGTCTAAATTGACTTGCGCACACTTCTGTTTACCTTCCTTATTTTAAGAAAACCTATCTTATACAATCTAAGAAACTGACGAAGGAAAGCTTGAGAAATGGATTCAGAAAGTGTTGTTTTTTCTATAAGTATTAGTGCAAATGAAGAAGTTCCATGCTTCTATCCTTGAGAGAAAAGCCAGTCCTGCTTGAAGAAATTGAAGAAAGGACCTGGAGAGAAAAGCTTCTGTGGTTGTGAGTTGTCACAAATAAAAATACAAAGATTTCAGCTTGAGCACTGAGTTGAGTTTAGATATGCATGCACAGAAAGGTATAGTCACTAGAAAGTTGTGCATACACACACACAAGCACAAATGAGAGTAATGACATCCCCATGAAGCCATGTTGCAACAGGAGTGAGTTTAGGAAAGACGAAAATGCATGAAAAAGATGCCACAAAAAATGCCAACAATTTATGAGATTCAGTTGCATGATCCCTCGTTGTTGTGCTCTTCTGTATGGTGTTCAGATGATGCTGGAGTGGTCCAGTCGACCTCATCATTCATCACTGACACATTCATCACACAATGGACATTGTGAAGAAGCTGTTCATGAAATACATTTTGAATATCCCTTTTGATAAACATGATTATCGAACATATACATGAAGCGAATACCTCCATTGCAAATCACGTTTTTGTCTGAAACTTCACAGCTATTTCATAAGAAGTGACAGACTGAAGAATTAATTAACAATAAAGAATGTCTACAGACTAGTAATATAAACAAATGCTGACCCTTGAAATGCTAAAACTTCCATTCCCTGTTAAATACTCTCTGTAGGGTTAAAAATAAAGTATGCACTGATTGTTGGAGTCGAAACACCTCCCAGATTTTGTTGTCTGCATACAAAATGGTGAAGTCTCTCATCTGCATACCAAGTCTTGGTATCTTTCCCTTAAAAATTTGACGGTTACAAAATACAGTTTGTAAACACCCCATGTTTGCTAAACTGTAGCGACGGTACAATCAATGGTTCCTGAGTGGTGGGTGAAGGAAAAGCTCAACACTAGCATTAACAGGTAGAAATAGCAGCTGAAAGGTAAAAGTAGTGGGTAACGAGTAGAAGTAGTGGCTACTCTTCACTGGCAGCATTGGATCCATCTACAAAACCAGTGAGTACAACATGTCACTCAGCTTTTTTTTCATTACACAGGTTCAACACATCATTGTTTTTTACTTTTAACTGATAAACAGAAACAATCCCCCCCCCCCCCTCCCACAAAACCAACATTTAGACATAAAGCCTTTCACTGTTCATAGCAAGAGTCTGTGCACCTGCTACATGTGATCACATGGGAACTAGCTTTCTAAAAACGAACAAGAAAATGTTGACAAAAATCCTTCACAAACTCATAAAACTGTTTCATATCATCCGAATGAATTACGTCCCCTCCAGAGGGATTCACTTTGATATTTCCATAATTAATCTTAAAAGTATGATTTGAAGTTGAACTTTTCTCATCTTGTGTGAAGCATAGGCCTATTGTAAGGTAGAAAAATGTTACCAGTACTAGAAAGATTGTCGTCTTCCTTAAGTGCAGAAAATGATGGTGAAACTGAAACACCCATAAACATTACTACCAACATATTATTATTTTAAAACTTTTAGACACAAACTGAAGAAAATCTTCGCTGCTCACCTTTAAAGCCCCCAAATCAAGGAAAAAATGTACGAGTGCTCCAAAAGATTTCATGGACTTCCTCGACCACCGCCTACCCCCCCCCCCCCCCCAATTATTATTAAAATCTTTCCAAATTCTTAAACTTAAAGCTGTAATATGACAATCCAGCTCCCTGTCCCCGTCACGTAAAAAGAGAGAACAAGGACAGAATTCAGTGAGGGAAATGTAGCATAAAAAAATAAATCTCATACATAAGTTGTGTTTATACTTCCCACTCTATATTTGTGGTACACTGAGTTAAAGTTGAAAGACTAAAGAAGAAGATCATGGTTTAAAAAAATGTAAATTATCTGAAAATTACAGTACAATAAATTTGTTCATGATATGTGACTTGCATTACATTGAATGAATATTTAATCAGTAAATAACGTCCCAAAACCTGATCAATCAAACACTAAAACTAAGCATAAAACACTGCAAAAAGAAATGCCTGACCATTTTCCTCATTGTGAAGATACCATTGAATTTTTTTCATAATGCCATATATATATATATAATATATATATAGCCGTACAAAATGATAAATAAATGTCTGTACACATGTAAACAATTTTCTTAAAAATGATGCCATTTGAATTAATAATGAATGTTGATGTAACTATATCGATGTTAATAGATCTACACTTTAAATGGTATCAAATCAAATTGAAATATTCAGTCTTCTAGAACAGATCGCTTCTAATCATCACGCCAGAACAGGAATTTTTCTTTGAAAGTAAAGCAGCTTGGTTAAAAAAAAACAACAACAAACAACAACATATCTTACACATTCTTCCGCAAAAACAAGAAACAACAGCAACAACAATAACGACAATATCATACGTACGTATAAAATGGCAAAAACATCAAATACCACCCTTTTTTTTTTGTCTGCAGTTGCCCCAAATAAGTGTGATTTTTTCTGACATGACATGACATGACATGTAAGAAGGAAATAGAAACACCTGGAGATAAAGCAAAGCATGAATAAATACAATGAGAGGGACTTGTTATCTGACTGTGGTAACTGGCAAACTGGGCAGGCCGTGGCGCCACCTACCTGAAGGTGCACAGCCAGGTGAAAATATGAGACAGTTGGGACAAAAGGGGTCAATAAGCATTCGCATAATAAAAACCCCCCTAAAAAACAAAGATGAATCAAACAAAATTTAAACAATCAAACTAAACAATAGTATCTATAACACTGACAATTACAAAATATAAGATAATAATAATGATAATGATGATAATGATAGGAAAAAAAAATAAAAATTAATAATAAGGAAAATAATAACAATAATAATAGTAATAAACTCTAAACAGTACAGTAACTGTAAGCGCCCCCCCCCCCCCCACCCCCAAGATAATAATGACAATAACGATTTAAAAAAAATTACAGACAAAATACACAATGAAGAATGGCATTGAAGTGAAATATTTAAGTCAACTTTTAAGTTTCATTATATTTATTCTCCCCCCCCCCCTCCCCTCCCCCCGAGATGGTCCATTACTAGGATGGGTGAAATGTAAAGTCCCAAAGCAGTAGGCTATAGGTCTTCTGTACTACTGTCCCTAACCCCCCCCTCCCCCAATCCACAGAGCAAAAACAGAGTAAAAAGAAAATCTTTTCACACTCTGAAGCCACATCTCCACCATAAAATCTATATTCGTTTTGCACAATTTTGTTGCTGAAATACTTATACAGAGCAAACAGAGCCGAAAAATTTTGTATAGCGAGTGCGAGGCAACATTAATTGTACTCCTCAATGTGATGAAGATAGTGTATTTATTCTTCCAGCTGCAAAAGGTCGCTGCATGTGCAGTTTCTATGATCTGACTCCCTGTACAAAATGGATCTACAAAGCATCTACTAGAGACTGAACAAATCTAAAATTGTATTCTTCACAGAAGACTTTGAAGTTTTAAAAAATTGCAGTTTGTCAATCTATGATATTGGTAGCATTTGCTCAAGGAATTTTTTGGTCAAAATTCAAATTATGAATGTTGAAAAATGCAAGACAAAATAATTCATAGGACCAGTCCGGCGGATCTCCAACCAGATTATGAAGGAGACTGTAAGCAGACAGACTCTGGGATGGATCCTGATGATGGGGGTGGGGGGGGGGGGGGGCACAGAGATAGACATGTTCCGACTGTAGTGTCCCCAACACTGAGGACAAAGGTGTGACAACTGTGAAAAGAATTAAATAGTTTTTTCTCTCTCCTGAAAAATGTTGCTTCCTTGGCTTTAGTCAATTTTAAGAGCTTGCTGACAATTCACACACTGATGTTTTTCAGACTTTTCAGTTATTAAAAGAAATTTCCACAGAACCAATGTTTGATAGATTTATAAACACAAAGCCTGCAGCAAGTGCGAAAATCCTGAGATTAGTGTCTAAAACAGTTCACTAAGCAGGAATAAGAGGACAAAACAAGCCAAAGATCTGACTGAAATCATCATGTACTTTTCTTTGAAACGAAAGAAGCTATAGCTATTTCAATTTAAGCAGTTGCCCTAAAATCCCACATGGGATATTCTTCACAAACACATGCACATTAAAAATCAGCAAACATTTAAACACATCCTACGTATGAGCAGGCAATCAGAGTATGACTAAAGTGAGCCGTTGAAAATTCTGTCAAGTCTCACACAATTTTGCTACATAAAGTTTTCCACCCCAGATACTGTGCACGGTCCATATCTCTTTTTAATTCATACAGCCTTGAAAGGTAGGGCATGGGGACTAAATACTGGCTGCAACACCTTCATTGGTGAAGCAGGTGCTACTAAAATCTGCGTATCACCTCACAGGAATGGCAAAAAATCCTGGTATGATCAACTCGATTCATCAAAAAAAAGTTATTTATATGCTAGACCACAATGGCCTTGATTGGAATTCTTGATATTCATCAACAATGGAGTCCGCTTACAATCAACTTTCTGAATAGAATTTTGTGCCTTTTGTAACTCTTCCCATGTTTTATGCCAATGAGTTAGTGCTGTCTGTTTGACTCAGACTGCATGCAAATATGTCTGGATACAAAAAGAACAACGCAAGTTTTATGACAACCATGCGGAGAAAATAATGTTTAAAAAAAGATACTAGAGGTTCTGTATTTTTGGGGGGTATATTCATTTATCAAGAGTTCATAAGTGGACTCCTCTGTCAATGTAGCAAATCAGCATAGGCCCTCCAGGCTCTGAATAGTAACAGTTTTCTTTTCTCTTACATGTGAAAGGTATAACCAAAGATAGTAAATAACAAGATGGGCCACTCAGCCAAAAAAGTGTCCGCAGGAAGTATGCTCTTTGCTTCAGATGGCGCTGCAGTCTGTTTTGAAGCTCTCTTTCGTTTTTCCAGAAGAAGAATAGGAATAGCACCTCCTTGCGTGCGCAGATTGACTGCTGTTCATCAGCAGTTCGGGTACGTTCAGTGCGGAGTTTTAGGTTTTTTAAATTTTAATGACCTCTCGCCTTTCATTCTAAAGTCAAATTAAACGAAGAAAACAATCACCCTTTCCTCTGGAAGAGGTTTTTTTGTCAGCGTAACCATTTTTAAAAAGCGTTCTTCCGAAATTTATCCCAAAACATGCTAGTTTCACTTTGATTTTGTAAAACTCAAGTAGGGTAACTCTGTTCGCAAAGAGTGCGCTTTTGTGAAGAGGGCGCCACCAAATTTTGAGGACACTTTTTTAATTGGCTCAAAGAGAGAAGTGGCCCATCTTGTTATGTACTATCTTTGGTATAACAAACACGTTGATCTGTCAAGATATAACATAGGTTTACAAAAAGGAGAATCATACAAAAATGGTACATACATCAATAAAGACATCTTGGTCATGGTATTTATCTCCTACAGATAACATTCTAGGCTTTTGATCTGGTACAACTTACAATAATGCTGTTACAACAGGTGAATAAATGGCCTTAAAACTAGACAACATTGACTGGCTGAAGAAGATGAGGAATTAAGCGAGTTTATGAGACTGGTTTCAGGATGCGGGTAAAGAGTGCGCACATGATGTGACTGTCACAGTCAACATGTCCAACTGCCATGTCATCACCCCTTTACAAGTCAAAATCTCACGGAGAAAAATCGTCACTGCACAACTTCTGACTTGGACAGGTCATATCATGTGCACACCTTACATGGATGTGGATGAACTTATTGGTATAACTTTACCAACTGTTATAAAATGATAAGCACAGTGAATTGAAAAACAATAGCATTGATGAAGGTCCTTAAACGATGCATGAAACAAAACCCTCACAAGGTAAACTTCATGTACATATACATAGATGTATAATATATTTGACAAAAGTGATGGCTGATGTATAAAGTAGCAATGCTTTTGCATCTCATGAGCAATAATTTTGATTGATGAGAAAATGATCAGTAGTAATTATGAGTCAAAGAAATTAAGTGATTCTCATGCTTATAGAAGCCTACAACCCTGTGCCAAAATTCCCCGTCACAAGTAAATTCATGACAAGCGTTGCTTCAAGAAATGAGAAATGATATGTTTGTACATACAGAAAAATCAGGTGAGGATTTTTTTGGTTTCTCTCATAAAGTGATTAAAAAATATTTGGCATTAGCAGGTAGTTTCTACAGTAAAATAAGCATGGATTGTTTAAGAAGGTTGTTGGAAAAAGATTTGCCTGCTATCTCCAGATTTAGTGAGCTGTTATCTGTTAAGGAATTTCTTGAGCTTTCATATATCGCTGCCTGTTAGGTGACATAAAAAAATGTTCCTCAAAGCATTCTGCCAGACATGAGCAACGTGTTTCGGAAGAATTTGGAATAATCCTGTCAGATAACAGTTTAAGAGACATTTGCCATTCTTAAAAACACAATTCTGAACAGTGCTGAACTGTGAACTTCAGTCACAAAAGCCAGTTACATGTTTTAACAGAGCCGAGGGTGAAGTGATGTGACAGCAATGGGAAACTGTGCGTGAGATGATGCATGGAACGGAATGTAAAACTCCTTGCCAGGCTGTGACAGGGTTCAACAGAACACTAGGCCATGTTGGCTCTGAAACTTTGTCTGTCCTCAAGCCTCCGGCACAAAACACATTTGGGCTTCCGCTCAGATTCATTCAGTATACTTTGGCCTGGGCATGAGCTCACGTTTTCATTGCCAGAAAATGTCCATTTGCCATGGTTTCTTTGTTTTGGTCCACAAAAACCATCTCAGTGTATGGATTGCTGGCCCGGTCGCCTTTTCCTTTTTCAGAAGCAATGCCGGAGCAAAATTTTTCTAAATATTGTTTGTCTGTTTTAACTGTCTTTGGTTGGCTGTCTGGGAGGAAGGGCATCTGGCCCTGAAGCTCCAAGATAATTGATTTCGGCCTCATTTTGAACTTGGACTTTTGGTTTCTTCTCATTAAGCAGAAGACGAGGATCACAACAGCAACTACTAAAATCACCAGAAGAACTCCCATCACTGTGTACCCAATGATGTTTGCCTCCTCCTCCTGAGATTCGTCAAGGGGGGATCCTATGCACAAAGTAAAAACGAATTCATAATAATAATAATATATATTATGGCATTTACATAGCGCACAACCTCAATTAAAGTACATAGGCTCTGAGCGCTTTACAATACAACAGTAACATATAATCAGTACATTGAGTTTTAACCCCCAAAAAAATTTCTCTAAAAATTGATCTCATTAATTATTTAAAAACAGAAATAACTTTAGCTGACATTTGAATTACCAAACATGGTTGACTTTCCTATTCACCACAGCATACAACAGGGTGCAATTGTGGTGTAAAGGAAGATGCTTCGTCGTCCCTCCCCCCCCAAAAAAAAACGCCTAATAATTCATATAGGGCCTATAGTGCCTTTATGTTTCAGTCACAATGCAATAGTAGCCAGTATAGCAGCATCCAGTGGATCATTCTTACTTTTGTTTATGTGAGTGCTCCTTATTAAAAATGTTTAAAACCTCAAATGAGACCACTAGAATTTGAAACCCCCGGCCCTGCTCTTCCCTGGAAATTGAGTAATAATTAACAACCCACAAGTCACGGTGCATTTCAAGAAGCAGGAGTTTCCGTACCTGTGATATTGATGTGTCCAGAACCTCTCGAGTCAGAACTGTGAGAAGTAAGCTTGGACAAATCTGTGGGAAAAGTTGACAAAGATGTCAGCTACATTTATTAACAAATGATAAAAATAATAATAATAATCATAATAATAATAATATAGATAGCATTTGTATAGCGCAAATTCCCATTAAACAGTGCGCTCTACAATCTATATTATTACCCCAGTAAACCTGACAGCGTTCTGAAACAATCTTAACTTCCTGGGAAGCATACAGTGCAAGCTGCCATTTTACAGGCGCTGAAACACTAACATACTGACAAGCTCTTTCGCTGTGTATAGCTGGGTACCCATTTACACCTAGGTGAAGTGAGGAAAATTTGTGTGAAGTGCCCTTTCCAAGGACACAACACCGGACCTGAGGCTCGCAACCCACGAATACTGTGACGCCCTACATATTACTAGTGTAGCTTGTAAAGCTAAAAAAAGAAACATAAATGTTGTTTGTCAACAGCGGCAAAATTACACTTTTTTAGAGGCACAGGTACAGGGCCCTTTTTACGCGAATAGAAATTGTGAAAATAAGAAATGGGGTTGTATCGAAAAGTGCTAAAGAACCGTTATCATATTAAGAGCACATTATTACTGCCAATAATTTCTGGCTGAACTGAACAGTTTGAATGTTTGAATAGAAAAAGCTTTCTCAGTTTTATAAAAAAAAAACCCACCGAAAACAAACGTCAAGGCTATGTCATTCAACTATTGTTGATATTGAAAGGCATATTTTACCATTTTGAAGATACAACATAGTACTCACCGTAACATTCTGGGCAGCATCCACCCTTCCTTCTAACGAGAACGGTACAATGAAGGGATGGGCATGTCAAGGGGAAGCACTCTGTCTTGCCGTCAAGACACACGCACTGAGTGCAGTTATCTCCTTCCCATTTCTCTCCCTCATCAAACATTATGCCGTTGGAGGTGCAGACTTTGGGTTTGTCCATTTCTGGGAGATAGAAAGTGACAGAAGACTGGTTATACTTCAGTGAAGTGGGATACATCTCTCTTTAAAGCTTTTGTCAACAGGTAAGGGGTCCATTCAATGCAGTCTTATGGGATGAACAGAAGAAACTTTTAAGCAACATTGCATTGTTGTAATGTTATCTAATACCTGTAGTGATTTCCGCACCTGAATAAAATCATATTTCGGACTTGTCACAAACACATAAAGGCTCCTCAAGAACTGACACAATGATGGTCATTAAATCTTTACAGAAACAGCAAACTGCAATGACAAGAACAAACAAGGAAATGGGTGGAAAAAAACAAAATCTCTAGTCCCTTTGTTCTAGATTAGTTTTAGTAAGAGTTTTACGGAACATGTAGGTCATACTAGTGCAGAAGAATAGAGGTGATACTACAGAAAAGAGGAGAGATAATGATGACAGATGTTTGATAGGAAAGAAGGATCAACCCACACCAGTTCTACTTTTCCTTGACTCAAACATCCACTGACATCTGAATTTCAATTATTGACCTGCAGTAAAAATGATACATTTCCAAAAAAGCAAGAACAGACAGACATAGAAATTAATTCGTACCAACTGCAGTGAGGTTACTGAACACACAGTGCTACAAATGAAACAGAGAGAGAGTGAGTGAGAGAGAGAGAATGTTTTAAGGGGGCCGGTTGTTTCAGCACGTGAGATGTTGCCTGAGTGCACCTAACTTTTGTATCATCTACTGCCATAGTAAACGACCAAGACAAGTTTCTCCCTCTGAGATAAATAAAGATTATCATTGTCATTGTCAAAAATTGAAAAGAAAAGAGGGCAACTGAAATTTGCGACTGGTTATTTGACAGGATGCCATTTTAGCAACCTGTGAACATACACTGTTGCTTCATCCCTCGCCTGAGAATTCACTGAAACATTTTCTGTGCTACTTGACAGCTATTTGGTCAGTTAACTATTCTTTGTCTCATGTATACTTCCAGGGGACTCAACTGCCCCCATTTTCAATCCTTTATCATACTGACAATTAACCCTTTCAGTCCTGTCCCCTGAGGCTACCATGCCCCTCATCCTGAGCTCCTGAGGGATATTTCACTAACATTTACATGATGGTCAGAATCACATTCCATATCACACTCGGGGTAGTCCTTGTCATTACCAGCATCTAATTCAGACAGATCTGCATAATGATCAATAACATCTTGTTTAGTAAACATCGTTTTCCGCACACGTTTTGTCCAAGTGGGTCGGGTTGGGGATGGGGTCTCGCTCGCCGGTGTACCGGTGGCAAGGGCTCAAAGTGTTAATTGAAGACAGGAGAGCATCGGTACAAACAAAACCTCGTACCAGCACAAGTGGGGCAGCACTGTCCCTTGCGGAGGAATGTCTTCTTGCAGGTGACTAGAGGGCACATCTGGTTGTAGCAGTGGATCTGTCCGTCTTGGCAAACACAGCTCTGGCACGGCGTTGACTGCCAGGATTCCCCATGCTTGTACAGCATCCCAGTGCTGGACCGGCAGTGCTGGCGGAAGGCGGAGCTGGGAAGGAGGCTGAGGTCTTCGCCTATGGGTCATCCACACATACATGGGGAAGGAAGGAAGCAAAGGGGACAAAACACATTTATCAAAGGTAAGAGAGAATTATATTCAAGTGCATCATCTCACACAAGCTTGAGGAAATTGTCAGTGAAGCAAACGTCCTCACATTGTCGAAATGTACCGTCTATAAATACTCAATAAAAATTTAGCTACATTACATGTATTGACTTGCATTGCTATGTCTAGGGCTAAATGAATTTACACTTTTCCCTTTCTGAGCAGGGCATGAAAAAGAAAAATTATTTCTTTGCCAACTGCCTGTAAAACGCCTGCCTAAGATGCAGGAAACTAGTATAACTGCATATGGATATTAACATGTTATTGAGCTCGGAGACGTAAAACAAAATGATGTCTGTAGAGACGATGGAAAATAACACATCTGTATCAAAACACACAAACGCATAAATCCTAATCAAAGAGAATTTGTCTAACAACGCTTTCCTGATTTACAATCTGTGTATTTACAACTAGGAATGAGCAAAAGACCCGAGACAAAACAGATTTCCCATATATATGTAACAAAATATGTGGATCTATGAACCCAAAGCTGTGGTCTCACCTTTGCACACAGCACAACATTCGCTCTCCAGTTTGACAGGATGATGGCAGAGGACTGGAGGACAGGAGGGCGTCTCACACAGGATGGACCCACCGTGGCACACGCAGTGAGTGCACTCGTCCAGTTTCCATGTCTCTCCTTCTGCGTAGTAGTGACCAAGAGAAGACTGGCACATTTCCTTCTCTCCATTTGGAGATAGTATGGTCAGGCCTGGAAGTGAAGTGGACAGTTTCTCATTTGTTAGGCTATGGGTTTTTGGCACACATGTGTACGTTAATTTGGATTTGGTCATCTATTTTTATCATTTTCCTTTCAAAATTTAGATGTGAACACAAGAGGCTGAACTAGAGTGAAAGCCAACAAATCTTGAAAAGCTGAAAAATCTAAACAAATAAAGAAGAAAACTAGCATTATCAGATCTCATTGTATGTGAATATTCTAGCACAGACATGCATATTTTTGTTTAATTTGTATCTATTTCTTGTCAGTTCTGAAATCTGTGTTTGTGTCTGTAGTGTTTTCAAATAGAAGTTAAAAAACCCCCCCAAAACTCAGAGAAAAACCATTGAATAAGAAAAAAAATAATAATAACAATAAAAAAAGAGAAAAACACTCACGCTAATATCAACTTACCTGGACAAGAAGGGCAGCAGTCGCCCACTCTGAACACAGGATTTGGGCAGTGAGGGGCTGGACAGGAAATCAGGGAGCACATTTCAACACCATTGTGACAGTAGCAGATGCGGCATCCATCATTCCACGATTCGCCATTGATGTGGCGAGCACCATGCCGAGACATGCATGATTTCCCATCAGATTTGAGAATCTCCGACTTGCTGGGGCTAATCAGGTCTAGTACTGGCAACTCTGAGAATTAGGGACAAATCTGTCAGTAATAATAATGATGATAATGATTACAACAAAATATACTGTGGATAGGGAGGAGGAGGAGGAGGAGGAGGAGGAGGAAGAGGAGGGGGAG